CTCTGAAACCCTGTACTGTTGACATTTAAAAAGTGTGTTGTTACATTCATGAGAATCTACACAAGACAGTCACTAGAAATTGTTCTGCAAACTGCAGGCTTATCATTATAACTCTCTTCAATTCCTATGGTTTTATAATAATCACTGTTACTGGTACCTCTTACGGCAGTTGCCCAACGTCTCTTTCTCTGAGCTGGTTGCCTTCTTGCATCCAATAAGCACTAAAGGCGTGAGAACAAACTTTTGTATAAAATAACTATAAGCTTAGCAAACTTACAACGTCAGCTTAAATCTTTGGCACACTCATTTTTAGAGGATTATCTTTTACAAAAGAAATACCCTACCCTGAATCTTCTTTACATGAAGAACCCCAAAAGACTATATGCCAGCGACTGCTTCTTGAAGAATATAACCTAGTCGTCCTTTCCCTTTTTGTTTCCTCATTGATAAAACAACAAAACGGAATAAATTGCATGCCTTTTCCTCCATTTTCCCCTCTTCCTTTTCACATGAAAATATGAAAGCAACCTGATTTCCTATGTCTAAATGTTCATTTTTTGCTAATCTCTAGAAATTGGAAATGATGCACAAAATTAGAGTTCTACATGCACCTAAACAGCTATTAGTTGCTAAAACCTCATGGGATCCATTTTTATTTGCAATTATCCACATATCTTTCAAAGTAAAATTCCAATTTCCAATGAATAGATTGCTTGCTTGACATACTCATGGATTACTGTATTATAAATGACTAGAGGCCTGATGCACGAAAATTCATGCAAGAGTAGGCCTTCCTTCCCCTGGCTGCTGGCACTGGCTTTCCTCTGGCACCCGGGACCCAGGCTTCCCTCCTCTGGCCGCTGGCAGGCAACCGGGACCCGGGCTTCCCTCCCTCTTACCGGCCGCAGGCACCCGGGACCGGGGCGGCTTTGCCCAGGCCCCGGCTTTGTCAGGAAGGACATCCGGAATGACATCTGGAAGGTGTCTGGTCTATCTGGTCTAATTAGCATATTACCCTTTTATTAGTATAGATGGCATATGTAGCTCTGTTTTTGCATATACTTCTATTGGTTAATATATGCTATTTTCACAGCCTATGGTGATAAAAGCTAGCGTTGTTTCTCTTTTGCTTGGTTTCTTCCCACTTAAGCATTAGTCTTTACACCACAGTATATGCTCAATAAATGCTTGTTGAATAATGAATGATTCAATTAAAACTCTGTTTACCAGTTTCCACTGCAACCATATTAACAGTGAAAGAATAATCTTAGGCCCTTTTGGGTCACCTGCATTTTCAATATGTCAGTGATCTTTCTTTCCTATTTAAAAAAAAGTTCTTGCTACATTTGCACAATTGCCACAAATAAACCAACCACACATTTTCAGACCTTTGATAAACTTAGCCCCACATAATTTTGCCAGATAGCTCATTTTAAAAATAGCAAGATTAGTCAACTGGACAAAAAAAGCACATACTTTCTACTCTGCTAATCTAAGAAAAACATCTTCCCAAAGATTTCTGTTTAATATCAAAGTTAAAATACAGATAGCTGTGCTGTCCAATTTATAAAACAGATCAACACGCACAGTCCCAAAAGATGTATGGCACAGTTTCATGTTATGCGTTGTTCCACAATGGAGAACTTTATGACATTAAATTGACTAATTCCTGGAAAGTCTGGCTAAGAAACTGAGTGTATATATTTACACACACACACATTTACATACAGATACACAACTGTGCATGACCTGAAGATTTAAATACTCAGATATAATTTTTTTTTTTTTTTTTTAGAATCCTTACTGGGAAGAGTTTAAGTTCTTCCCTTTTAATCTTGAAGTAAACACAAATACTTAAAAGAATTCCCTTTTATCAAAGACATTCTTTTTTTAAAAAATTGGGCAGGCGGAGGAAATGTTGATTCCGAGTATGTAGGCCACGCCCTATTCCAATCACTTTCCTCATTTTGGTCAACTACTGAATTAACACCGAAAGCCACTTCCAAAATGCAAAAAATGGTCACTCTACCTGCCAAGTGTTTATCCCATTTCACACTCAACAATTTACCAGGCTTAGTGTCAAGGGTTTATGTCCTCTTCAGCTACAGACTTCCAACCAACATAGTCTATTTCTGTGGTAGGCAGCACTCTAAAATGTACGACAGGAGTCTTACGTCTATGTCCCTAAATAACTAGGTGGCTGTCCATATAGTACTCATTTGGAGTTTGGACTAGATCCTTGGTTCTCAAAATGTGGGTGCCGGAACATTACCATCACCTGGAAACTAATTAGAAAAAAAAAGTTATGAGATCATATCCAGACATACCGAATAAGAAACTAATACCTGTTTTCACCTCCAGGTAATTTTGATACATGATCAAGTTTGAGAACCTCCGGACTAAAGCCTTCTCAAACTACCAAAATCCTATTGTTATTAGCTCAAACATATCTTCTAGAACTAGCACTATGTTCAATTAAGTGCTTTCAATTACTCCTAGCAGCTGGAGTAATACATAACCAAGAATACCACACTCTATTAGTAGCATTTAAAAACTTGACACATTTTTTCACAAGGACAAAAGTCCTGGTAGCAAACTTTTCCCAATTAAGTAGACACTGTGACAAATGTTTGGTGTCATTTTAACTAAGAGTGGTGATCTCCAAAATTAAAAGTTTCCTTCATACTCCAGATGTTGTGAAAAATGCATTCTTTAATGACAGTTAAGGTACAGGTATTTTGCATATATTTCTCAAGACCAGCTGCTACATATGGTGTTCTCTCACTTTGCCATCCCACCTATAAAAAATACTGGGTATTTTAAAGGGGTGCAATCAGATGATGGTGGAAACATTTACAAAACTACCTGAACAGTTCAAATAGATGAGGCATTTTAGGATTCCCACCTACAGAAAAGGTTAACTAATCGGGGAGCATAAAGCCTCATACATGTAAATTCTAACCCAGACATGTCTTTTCCTGAAATGTGATTAAGTCTATTTCAACAGTTAACATGGAAATTATTTTACCTAAGAACCCTAACTCCCAAACATAAAAATGTTAAGACTTAGGAAGTTACCTTCAGCTTTTCTGAGGCTATTACAAAAGGAGTACTAAAATAATCCTTTGACATAACATAAAGCCTGGTTGACAGCCAGGGACCAAAAGGAAAAGCTGTTAAAAAAACAGCAGGGGTCAAGTTTAAGTTAACTTTTGCTCCCAAGATAAAGGTTCCTTTCTCACTCAGTATCTGTTTTGACAGGTGATTGCCTTATAGCAAACTGCTCCTCCCTCCACCCTCCCTCCCTCCCTCCCTCCCTTCCTTTTTAACACCCAAGTCAGCCCAACTTTTTCAAGGAAACAAATGCTCTTATCTCTTCACACCCTAATACTAAGAGGTTCTTACTAGCCAAATAAACTGACATACTCTTAAAAACAATGTCCCTCACTTCTCTCAATTTTGTCAAGAACATAATGGAGAAGGCTACCAAACTCAACTACTATTTTCCTGCTCTAAGAAATACACACCGAATTGTTTTCATTGAGAATCCAAAAAGCATTTATTTTACAGTACTCAGCAAAAGCGTATTAAATTCTTCTGCTCTGCCATCCTAGAACTATTAAGAATTTAGTCATGCAAGTGACTAAATCCTATGTGGAGATGATTAATGCACCAACAACCTATTTCTTTTCCAATTTTCCATTTTTAAGTGTTCCCTGTCAGGAATATATACATTTCTCAAGTTAAACACTTGGCACCATTTTAGGTCAAAAGGTTTCCAAAATACAAAACTAAAGAAAACCATAAAACTAAAAAGTCCACAGATGCCATTTTAAAAATATCCTTCATAATACTTGATAAGTCTTCAGAATTTTCAACACTTTAGATCTACTGAAGCAACTCAATTTACCCAAATACAAGAAGGAATCTTTGCAAAGGCATACATTTGAGTAGTTTCTCTTAATTTCTCTACTTAGGATATATTTAGTACCTTCTAATTGACTTTAATAGTAAACTTAAGTGAGATCGAGAATGAGAAAAAAATGGCCATAGGACCACCACAGGTAAAATGTCTATTCTTCCTCCACCCAGGAATACCGGGATGTCTCCTGGGCAAAGGACACATTTTAAGGCAAGATATGTTAATACTGTTTAAAGAAACCTGTGGCCTGTAATTTGTTTTGGCTTCCTCCACAGAATCCCTTTGTCCAAAGACCCTTGAGAAAACTTCATCTACACTCACAGACTTACGGTATATCAAATGCTCTTGGTATATAGCCACAAACCTTTTATTCTAAAGAGGTTACATTAGTAAAGTGGCCCTTGGGGAAAATAAAACAGAAAAAGCTCACACTGCCTCCTACTGTTAGCAGGAAAATTTCATTCGGTCAAAATGGCCCATGATGTGTAATGAGAGCCAGGAGTTTTGGTCTTAGTTTTTTCTGTTTTCTTTCTTTGTAAATCTAAAGATCTATTTCCAAATCAAAACCTCAGGAGTTGAAATGCTGTCTACAGCCTATACAAATTACTGCAGAAATGCTAGTAGGTATGACTTCGGAATGGAAATCATCTTCCGCAAACATCCTTTTGACTTGGTGTATATGTGACCTAATTTAAACTAAACAAATGAGAAAATGCTAGCCCTGCCTGGTCAGGTAGATGGTTACTTTCCCAGATTTAAGGCAGTACTAGCAGCTGGCTTCTCCCTTCCCTACCTACTGTGAGGTGAGGTAAACTGCTCCATGCCAGGTGAAGAGTCAATAATCTTGTAGTCAGATGATATGGCCATACCCCAGGGCTTCCTAGACCATGATGATTTTCCCCATATTTAAGAAGTTGGGAGTGATGTCACTCAACTTGCCACTGAAGTACTTCTGTCTTCAAAATTTGACCACCAACTCTTGGGGACATCAGGCACCACCAATCACCTGCACCTGTCCACCTTAGCCATGCTACTGTATTAAATCACTGAATATGAAACACAGAAACACAAACAATAGTTTTGGGTTTGTTTCTTTAAAAATGACATTTGTATTAAAAGTCTTAAAATGAAGAGACAATGATTAAACACGTGTTGTCTGGAATTAAAAATTACAATTGGTTAGAATTCTCTTGGTACATCACAACAGTAAAATTTTGCTCTTTGCTTCTGAAGGAAGACCCTATTAACAGATAACCAAAAAAAATATTTTAAAATAATATAAAAGGGGAGCTAAATACCTGAACATTTGAACAAAACGAAGAAAAAAAAAAGTAAAAAAAAAAAACGCAAGACATGGAAATTACATTTTAAAGGCTGGAAATGATAAAGAAGAAATTCACAGAACAACAGGCCCTATTGTCCTGGCTCCTTAGGGATGATTACTGAAAGGAAACTGGGAAGTGGTTTGGGGAAATAGCAGATTCTGGGGTAGGGTGGGAAGTTCACAGGTTGGCACCGGCTGGAACAGCTGAGTTTTGAAGGCACTCTGCAGACACAGGGGTGCTGGGGGCCCTGAATCACATTTGTTAAGTCTTTGTACTGTATTTTAAAGAGCTACTCATCAAAATCCGTTACTGCCAACCAATAAGAATAAAAAGCTAAACTTTAAAAAAAAACACAAAAAAAACCACACACGCACACACACAATAGTACACACACAAAATGTGCAGATCTGTAACATTTTTTTCACAGCTGATAAAAAAAAATACTACCGTTTTTCCCCAGACTCCCCTTAGATACAGTAGGTAAACAAAATAGATTTTTTTTCCCCCCACAAATATCAGCAGACACTTTCTGGCACCCCACACTGTATTGGCATCAGTGTTAACAGTCCCAGTTCAGATGTGCAATACTTCAGATTGGATACACTGAAACAAGAATCCAACTTTGCATAGACATCCTCAGAATCGCAATCAGTCACGGGGTTGCCCTTCCAAGCTGGCAGAAAAGGAACCCGATCATAATTTCCAGCTACTCCTGGCAGAAAAAAAAAAAAAGGAAAAAACAAAAGTTTCTTCCTCTCCTCCTGCTCCTTCATTTGGTTCTCCCGGACTTCCTTCCATGTATTTAAAACTGGGAACTAGAAAACGGTGGTTGCAAGAAAAACAAAAAACACCCCCCTCCCTTCTTTCCACCTTCTCCCTGTCCTCTTCCTCCCCCACCCCGTTTTTTTTCTTTTTCTTTTTTTTTTTTCCAGGCTGAAACTTTCGCTCGCTGGTGTCAAGCCGCCAAGACAGCACCCTGAACGGTTACTGAAAGGGGGGAAATAGGCGTCAACCAAAAATCAATGAGAAACGTACATGATGCAAAGAACCACATTTCCACTGCGTCTCAGATGGTCGGGACCGGTCACCCCTCCGGACGCGGGGAGGAGGCGGGGGACGTGGGCCGCAGAGGCCAGCCGGGATCCCGGGACAGCCCGGGCAAGGCAAAGTCGTCTCCGATCTCAAAGCAAGAAGAGGAATCACATGGAGAGAGTGGGGTGCGTTTGGCTTTTGTGCGCAGAGCGCGGCCGGCGCGGCGGCCGCGGGCGCCTCAGAGGATCACGCAGGCCGAGCAGCAGCCCTCGTCGCCGTTGGGCTGCGCCGCGTAGTTCATCTGCCGCACGATCTCGGCGAACAGCTCGTCCACCGAGGCTTTGTTTTTGGCCGACGTCTCCATGAAGGGGCAGCTCCACTCGTCGGCCAGGGCCTTGCCTTCGCCGAAGGAGACCTCGCGCTCGCCCTCCAGGTCCACCTTATTCCCCACCAGGATCATGGGCACGCGCTCGTACCGCTTCACGCGGATGATCTGGTCCCGCATGGGCTTGATGTCCTGGAAGCTCTGCTGGTTGACGAGGCTGTAGACGAGGATGAAGCCCTGGCCGTTCTTGATGTACAGGTCCCGCATGGACGCGAACTGCTCCGTGCCCGCCGTGTCCAGGATCTCCAGCACCGACGGCGACGAGTCCACCTCGATCTCCTTGCGGTAGAAATCCTCGATGGTGGGGTCGTACTTCTCGATGAAGGAGCCGGTCACGAACTGCACGGTGAGCGCGGACTTGCCCACGCCGCCCGAGCCCAACACCACCACTTTGTACTCTCTCATGGCTCCGTCGGCGCTCTCGCCGCGCCCGCCGAGGCCCCGTCGGGGCTGCGCGCCGGGGATGGGCTAAGGCTGGGCGGCGGGACGTCTCCCCTTCCTCGGCTCCGCAGGGAAAAAACTAGGAGCGGCGGGTGGCTGGGGAGCGCAGGACGCAGCGATCACCCCGCGGGGCCGGGCGCCGGGCCAGCCGGCGGCAGCGCGTCCCTGGGGCTCGGGTCCGGGGCCCCGCAGCAGCCCGCGGCGGTGGCAGCGGCGGCAACCTGAGCGGCGGACGGGGAGGACAATGCCGGCAGCCTGTGCGAGGCGACGGCTGCAGTTTCTCGCCGCGGCAGCCCGGGAGGGCGGGGACGCGGTGGCGGCGGGCTGCGGAGGTGGCTGCTAATTGCGCGCCGAGCCGGGACGCGCGTGGCATGAGTCCCCGCGGAGCGTGCGCCCTCCGCCGCGGCCCAGCGCGCTCTCTCCCGCAGCCTCCGCGGGGCGAGGGCTTCCTACTCGCCGCGCGCACCCGGGCCCTCCCCGCACCGGCGAGCATGCCCAGTGCGCCGCCGCCGCCGCCGCGCCGGCTGGATCCGCTGCTCCTGGTTTTCCGGGGGGCCGGGCGGGGGCGGCGCTGGGGGCGGGGCTCCCGATTTGAGTCTAGAGGAGCGGATCCCGGAGAGGAGCGAGTGTGGGAGCTCGCGGGGGAAATGTGTCGGGCTGTGGAGGTGTTGGGAGGAGGGGAGTCGGGGGGTGAGGGGGGCTGGGAACGCTCAGGTGGGACGATGGAGGCCGTCTTTCACGGCGCTGGGGTTCGCGCATAGGGCGGCGGCTCTGCAAGAAGTGTGTGGGCACGGCGGGCACTCGGCACCGAGCAGGCTCTGCTCCCGCCGACTCCCGCAATCAAGAGTCCTAGGATCCCGCTCCCGATCCCCGGCGCTGTGCCTCCCGGGGCCGGACACCCAAAGGACATTTGGACGCTGGAGCGGCGGGTGGAGCATCCTCCACCACCCGCGGCGCAGCTTGTTTTGTTTTTTTTAAACCGTGCGCTTTTTCGGGCAGACTCTCCCTGACTGCATCTCCAGGACCAAGACAATGAGAACACCGGGTCGGAATGACTGTTCGGACGAGGGACGGGGCAGCCTCTAGTGACCACTAGTGACCAAAGGGTAGCGCTCGGAGGGTCCCACCCCCTCCCCACCGGGCTCGCGCCAAAACCCGGAGACTAGAGTGCAACCCGGGCCGTCCGTGGCGGCGGCGCCCGCAGCTAGTCAGGGCATGCTCAGTGGGCAGAGCCGGTTTTCGGGCTTAGAAGCAGGAAGCCTTTGCACCGCACACCCACACTCCAGCTCGAATTACCTCTCCCAGACTCCCGGCCCATTGGTCCCGGGCGCCACTCTCACACCTCGCGTGCGCTCCCATTGGCCACCGCCAACGTTTTGTCAGTTTGGGCCGCTTCATTGGCTGAAAAGTAGCCTCCGCCCGTGATTGGCTTTGCATGGAGCTGGAGTTCGGAGGCGGAGGCACAGCTGTTCTTTCTGGGCTGCTCCTCCTCCGCCCCCTCCCTCCCACTTCCCCCAGCTAGTCGTTTTGCAGCGAAGAGTGCAAGAAATAAGAGGAATTTAGGCGGAGAGCTCGGAGCTAAATATAGCCCCTTGTTGGTGTTTTCCAGAGAGCGTGACTTCTCGGTGCCCAGTCACGACTGTCCTTTAAAGGGAGCAGATAGGGCTGGTCACAGTGCTCGGTCCACAAGCATCAGCAAACTTTCCAAGTTCTTTGGCAGCAGGAGGAGGGCGGCTAGGATGTGGAAAGGGGCCACTGTGGCTTCTTCCCACACGGAGGAGTGGGGGATGCCCAGGCTTGCCCTTAGAAGACGTCTTCGCTTTGGGCGGGCAGTCGCCAGACTTGGCTGGGCTCACCCTCCCGGGAGGTGCCAGGGAACTGCCTGGACTTGCCTCTGGGTCTCCCTCTTTCCTGGCGAAGGAGATGTCAAGACCTGTCAGGAGGCTTAGGGAATTAGCGTGCGCTCCCAGGCGAGTGGGATGGGAGGGGACCGAGTGCGTCAACACTGGCGCCGGGTCCTGCCTTTAAAAAAAAAAAAAAAAAAAAAAAAAATCCCAGGCCACTTGCACTGGCTTAACTGCGCGCATCATCAGGGATGAGCCAAGCGGTGTGCTGCGTGCTCACACGGTTTCAGTTCCTGAGCCCCGCCGTGACTCATGGCCACATTTGCGAGTTAACCTTCTCCGAAGCCCTGGCTGTAGCTCGTACGGTGCGTGTCTGCAGCCCCAAGTCCTTGGCCACGGGATCTGCGGGACCTGGGCGGCAGCCTACGCCTTGGATGCGGGTGGATGGTGCCCAAGCCCCGCGCCTGGCCGCGCGCTTCAGTGGAGAGAGGGGTTGAACCTTGATGATCAGAGTGCCTGGATATCGTTATGTTTATATAATTCTCCCGATAAACCTTTCGGAGGGAGGCAAGCTCACCTAATGCAGCTGGAGAGAACCTCACAACATTTATCCAGCGTTTAATGTCTGCGAAGCCTTTCTACACGCCATCTCTTACTCCTCGTAACAATGATCTGCTTTAAGATGAGGAAATGGAAGCCCTAAGATGTTCAGTAACTTGCTTGAGATTTCACAGGTGGTGGTGAGTAGCCACGCTAGGGTCGCAGGTGTTTTGGCTGCTTGTAACCAATCGTCCATACTGCCTTTACGCAAGAAAGTTCCCAGATTTTATTTACTCTTAGGCTGAATCTTGAGGTCTTGTAATCAGGCTGGCTCTTAAACCGAAGCAAAAGGGACCTCTGCCCACTGCCACGGTCTGCTCTCCTCTGGCTGTGCCCCTTCCCACAGCTCCAAGAGCCAGACCTCTCCTTTAGACCATTCATTCTCCAGGACTCAGGGGTGCAAAACCTTTTGTGGGCCATAAGAAATTATCACCTTAAAAACTAGCCTGCTATATATGGTCAAACATTTAATGAACTCACATCTAAAGCCTTGGCAGGGCCAGGCCAAATGATTTCGAGGGCCTTCTGGGCCCCCCCCTGCTCCAGGTCGTCGGAATTCTGAAATCCCCTACCTAAGTAGCACCAAAGCCTCTCTCAGGATCTGCCTGGGCCTCTCACCCCACCCTGTGCCCAGAAATGGGTCTTGGCTGGAGTGTGTACAGTGCTTGGACCCCTGAGCCCTTCCTGCAACTTTGGGCCCCTCCTTAGGGCAGGAAGAGGGGTCCCTGGGAGTCAGCTCTTTCTTCCCTGTGACCTTGCAGCCTGTCCCTGGGAAGAGTTCAAGAATTCATAGTACACACCTGGCCGCGCAGGTCCTTGGGAAGAGGTATTTGTCAAGGTGGGAGGGTCATATTTTATCAGTTTGTTATCTCGATGTATAACAAATACTCAGACTAAGGCTATGTAGGCCTCTATTTGTCTTCTTGCACACAAATGTGAGGTGTGGTTCTGAGTACCACACTGGAGAAAATGTTTTGTCCTCATAAGCCTGGTGGCTAATCTCCAGTGTTGGAGAGCAGTTATTATCTGAGCCCTTGGGCAGGCTCCTTAGGCTCTCCTGACCTTAGGTTCCCTCGCTATAAAATGGTGATAATAAAATGTGCCCTGCCCTCCTCGCTACCCAAGGAACCTGGGGGAGAATCTGGTGACCAACCCCCTCATTTTACATCAGAGAGGGCTGAGCAGAATTAGAACCCTGGTGTCCTGGCTGCCCTTTTCCTGGTGCCAGTCTGTTCCTCGGGGGTAATAATTAACAGATACTGGGTGGAAACATGTTTTTAAAGCGGCAGCACCTCATAAACGCATGACAATTATCCATACTCAGGGGGGCTGACCACCCTGTCTATAAGATCCTCAGGACTCTGGGTGTTATTGAATCTTGGTGGCCTCGCCAGAACCAGAAAGATGCCACAGTTTGGATATTTTCTATTAGCAGTGGTTCTCAACCTTGGCTGCACATTAGAATCACCTGGGAATCTTTTTAAAATCCTGATTTCTGGGCCTCATCCTCCGGAAATTCTGTTTCTTTGTTACTAATGTTGTGGCCCGGAGGATGAGGCCCAGAAATCAGGGTTTTAAAAAGATTCCCAGGTGATTCTAATGTGCAGCCAAGGTTGAAAACCACTGTATTAGGGACTTCTCAGTTGCTAATTGTATTACATTCAGGGGGTCTCCCTCAGGGAGATTTGCACTGGGGCTTTGTGATTCAAAACGAAGTAATAAAATTGCTGATGCAGACATTTTTAAGGTTGCTCACTTCCTCTTATGAAATCTGTTAGGAGTCTTTATTTACCTCGCTTAGAGGTTATTATATACCCTGCACCATAATTATTTACAAGTCTGTGTCTTGTCACTCAGTATCACATGAATTCCTTGAGGGCAGGGTCTATATCAGGCTTATCTTTGGAGCCACCTCTTTGCCTCACAACATATAATGCAGTGCCTACATAGGAAGCCCTCAATAAATATTTACTGAATATATGAATGGCATTTTCCTCCTTTTCCAAACTCTTTGTAGTAAAAGATTTTAAGTTTTGCTGAAATATAACATTTCCTGGAAACTTAGAAAAATACATCCGAATGTTTCAGTCTCCCTGAGTTATTGTAAAGATTCTGGGTGACCAACGTCTACCTTTATTTCGGTGGAAACACTAAATTGGTGCTGTCTTGGGGGAAAGATACCAAAGTGGCCAATGGATAAACCCTTTCTCTGAAGATTTAACATCTGCTGATAATATGAAAACATTGAGAGTAAAAGCTACCAAGTAAGGACAGCTTAACCTAAGGTACTGACTGTTCTACCAAGGCGGGTCGTGTCCCTGGCTTTTGCTCACACAGTGGGGCTGCTGAGGTTTTATGACACGTGTGTTGGGCCTTCAGTGAATTAGCATGTTTGTTAGAACATAAATCTTTGAAGTCTTCAAGAAAATAAGTACCACTTGTCCACTTCATGTATACAAAGTAACGAGTTTATTATTTTTGTCGTTTTAGCTGGTGCCACCTATAGGTAAACAAATAATTCGGAACAAATACTAATTTTGAAAACACCAAGGATAAGTAGATAGTGATCATGCATTACTCTTTTAAAGGGAAGTGTGAGTGTAAGATGGTGCCTTGCAGAGTTCTCAATACTATTTATTAAATACCTGAACATGTTATAACCCAGGCTACTAGCAGGCTTAGGATATTTTATTTTTTTTAATTTTAATTTGTGGTCTTTTAAAAGTAATCATCAGAAATTCCCTAAGTATTATTTTATAAGCCAACAAAACAATTATCATTTCATACTATGATATTATACTTTGGGCAGCCGGCTTGTAAGAACAGTGACTTGTGCTACTTGTAATGGGATTGTGTATCTTTATATCTTAGAAATGTCCCAAAATCTGCCAAAACCGGTTTGGCTCGGTGGATAGAGTGTCGGCTTGCGGACTGAAAGGTCCCAGGTTCGATTCCGGTCAAGGGCATGTACCTGGGTTGCGGGCACATCCCCAGTAGGAGATGTGCAGGAGGCAGCTGATCGATGTTGCTCTCTCATCGATGTTTCTAACTCTCTATCCCTCTCCCTTCCTCTCTGTAAAAAATCAATAAAATATTAAAAAAGAAAAGTCCCAAAATCTTAGCATGGTAACTAAAGAGACACAAAGTTGTGTCTAGACTTTATAATTTCAGTGTCTGCCTTTGTCACTTGTACTCTGGCTCCTTTTTCCTATTTTAATTATTTTTCAAAGGAAAATGTAGCAGAAACTAAAAATTAAATATTCTGTTAAATTTACTTAAGCTTTTAATAAACTTTTTGATAGGCCAACACAAAGAAATAGGAGGATCAAAATTGCTATTGTCTCAAGGTTGTTGCTTATCACATTAGCATTGAACAAGGATCTCAACATAAAAATTAGTGTACAGTGTTACTTTTGATAATGAAAACCACTCATCTTCAGAAAGGGTTATACACACCTAGGCAAATATCACAGAACTACTCCGTGGGTTTGAGTTCTGTCATAAATTCTTACTAATGGTTTGTCATGTTTTCATTCTTTTACAAACTTTTTTAATAAGAAATCTCTTTCCTCTAAGGTAAATGATCTCTTCTCTGTTAGGTGTAAGATTCATCTGAGACCCTACCTGTGGAGAAAAGAACACAAACCGCTTATAGCACCATTTTTATATGATGAATGTATTCTCACTCCAGGGAAATTTTTAGATTTTATTGATCCTGTTTTTCCTAGTTGAAAGCTCAGTTTCAAATCTTAATCTGTTTTAGGAATTGTCTCCTGAGAACCTCTGTTCCAGAAAATCAAAGATAGCAAGAATGGAAGAAATTTCCTAGCTCCATTGAAAGAATTTTCCTCCCACTTGCTTTTTCCTCACTGGAGTAAAGGAGCCCCCTTTGCTCCTGCAGGGACAACACCCACCACTTCCCCAGGTGCACAGTGCAGGCCTGTCACCCCTTCTGCAGCAGTGGCTCCAATAAGTCTTTCAGGCTTTGTGATTTTGATGGAGACAGAGTCTATACTGGGGGGAAGGAAGTTGCCATTGTAAATTTTCAGCAGTAGGATTTGGTTTAAGGAATCAGCCTAAGAGGGTTCTATTTCACTGGCAGTTACACAAGCTAACAATCTAGAGATAGAGAGAGGATGTGTGGTGGTGGTTTAGGAAGATAACGAAACGGCAGAAATTAGTCTAGTTAGATAATTTTGTGATTGCTGTATTCAATTCTGTCATGGAAGTTTGTAACTCTTCTCAAGGTTTTTTTTGTTCTATTATTCAATTCTTATAATGTGTACATATCACTAAGTCCAAAGTATACAAACTAAACCTTTTCTGTTAAGGAATTTATGTTCTTTAAAAAAATCTAATTGCCTTATAGAATATAATTTTATCGAATTGAAAGGGAGTGATCCTGGGAAACATCATATATTTCTGTGTCTCATATAAGCTACATATTCTAAGCAAGTGGCTGGCAAACTTTTTAAGTGAAGGGCCAGACAATAAGTATTTCAGATTTGGCAGACCCCACCATCTCAGTTGCAACTACTCAGTCTGCCCTTGCAGCATGAAGGCGGCCGTAAGCGCTCTCTCTCTCTCTCTCTCTCTCTCTCTCTCTCTCTCTCTCTCTCTATATATATATATATATATATATATATATATATATATACACACACACACATATTAGAGAAACATGCTAATTAACCAGGATGCCATAGAGGGTGGCAGGGTGGCAGGGGCCTCCACGCGCCTGCGCTGGGGGAGGGCCTGATCAGCAGCAGCCACCGGCTGCTTCAAGGGCCAGAGAGGGAGGCAGGGCTGGACCAGCAGCAGCCACAGCTGCTGCAAGGCCGGGGAGGGAGGCAGGGCCAGACTGGCAACTCGAGGGTGGGCGGCGCCATGCGATTTCAAATTGCATGCTGGGGTCCTATTATGTAAATAAATGGGCATGACAGTGTTTCAGTAACACTTTCTTTACAGAAATAGGTGGTGGACTGCATTTGGCCCACAGTCCCATAGGTTGCCCATATCTAAACTAGGTATAGAGAAAAGGTCATTGTTGGAAGCCAAGTGTTCTTATAATCAAAACTGGAGGCCCAGTGCACGAAATACATGTACGGGTGTGCCCTAGGCCTGGCCTGTTATCTGGGCCATTTTCCCCGGCTGCCAGCAGCTGGCCTCGCCCCCGCCGCCACCCACCCCTGGTTCCCCGGTTCACCATCAGGTGATCAGAGCCTGCCGACCAGGGGGGATGAACCAAGAGGTGGTCATTGCACCTCATAGTGACTGGTTGAGCGGTCATTCTGGTCGTTCTGCTGTTCAGTCGATTTGCATCTTACTCTTTTGTGTATACAAATGAACTACTAGCCTGTCATTAGCTACAGCCATAACTCTTTTTTTAAAATATTTTTTTATTGATTTCAGAGAAGAAAGAGAGAGATATAGAAATATCAATGATTCTCTTTCATCACGATGTTTCTATCTCTCTCTCTTAACCTTAATTTATAGTAAAATGTCCCTCAAGTATAGTGAATATATTTCAAGAGATATGACTGTAATTCTATATTTTATGAAACCTTCACATTGCTATTTTTACACATGGAAAATTTGTCCTCAATAGTTAAGGCATCAGCAATGTTTTTTATTGGACCTCTCATCCTTTTCTCATTGATTTGTAATTGTTGATTATGTATCATGGTTATATTATCTAATATGTAAGGATATTATCCTCTGTTAACCATATGCATTGCAAATAATTTAATCAGTTATTAGTCTTTGATTTGTTTATGCTTTCTTTTTTTATTGAGACTTTAACAATATTCTTATTTTGAATTTATTGATCTTTTCCTTGATGGGTTTCCTTTGTGGATTTCAGGCTCAATTTGAAAGACACTACAAGATATTTTATACAACTGGCATTTTCTTCTAGCATTTTTAAGTTTTCTTTCTTTTTTTAATTTTATGGGTTACCTTTTGGCTTGCTTTTCAACTGAAAAGACAACCTCAGTAAATATGGAGAGATTGAAATGTGAGCAACAGGATGTCCGCTGAATAGAAGTTTCTGAGGAGAGTGAGAGCAGGGCGGGAGTCTGCGAACTCTGGTGTGAAGGCTGAGGAAGCATCCCTCCTGTTAAACAGGAAAGAAGAGCCAAGAGACCTGAAAACCGGAGCTGAGAAGGTGAAAAGTTGAGAGAGTTCAAGCGGCAAATAAGCTTCTCTCTGTAAATAAACATGGCGAGGCACCTGCTCAAAGAAAGAAGGGCAGGTGTGGGTTTGGGAATCAGAGTAGAAATGAACCTGTTTCCAACAGTGACTGTGCAGCACGCGGCATGAAGTTGCTAAGCGTCTAAATTTGGGTTGCACAAACTTCTGAAGATGCCAATTCAGCTTTTCTTTCTTCCTTTTTTTTTTCAATGAAGAAAGATATTACTAATTTCCTTTATGTCTGTCAGATCAGATTCTGTTAAAAGTTCTAAAGGCTTTTTCTCAATACTTACAAACAAATAATTATAAAGCAAACCTCCACATCTCTCATAGGCCCATACTTTTAGTGAAAATACACATACAAACCTGTGACTTATGTGATTAAAAGTTCCATTACTAATGAGAAATTAAATGAACTCAGTAAAACTGCCTTACCTATATAATCTCTTGAGTGTCTTTTTCTATTGCATGCTAAATTACAATAAAGCCTTGGCTGCCTGAACTCAGAAACTGAGTCACTTTGAGCATGTTTGTCTAGAAAATGTTGCAGTTGTATAGACTGTCCTGTCACAATAAGAAAAATACGTATATACTTTTCATTAGTAATACATTTGGAATGTACTTTAAAAAACACACAGAAAGAATGAAGTCCATATAACAAATTACCCCCTCCCCCCCAAAAAAGTTAACATTTTGGTCTATAGTCTTTTTGTCTTTTTATCATAGAATTATTTAGAATATAGGAAACCAGTTCTAGTTTTCTTGTGACTGTTTTAACTTACAGCCCAAAGAAGGCATGAGGTACTCTATAGCTTGCTGGTCAGGAAAATCGAATAAAACATATGTAAGTACTTATTTTTGGAAGACGTTTCTTGTCTTATTTAATAGTTTTGATGGGAATGTATGTATCTTATGTGCTGAAGCTGTTGCTTGCTTGACTCAAGTCCCCAATGACAGCCTGGGTGGGGCCGTTCGCCTGTTTGTCCTGAAGGTGGGATGAAGCATGTTCATGACCTCGGGGGCAGCAGAACGTAGCTGCTGGCCTGCATAATTAACGAGGGAATCAAAGGCTTCAGCTGCCCTCTCCCACATGGTTTTGTCCCTCTCCAGAAATGATCCTCTTTGTGGCAAACAGTGCCCTTTGATGTGTCAGCACCATTCAAAGCCAGGGCAGTGCCTTCTGCATCATTAACACATGTCTGCTTTCTTTGTCACTTCGCACCCAGGCTTCCATCTCTCTTGCCACGAGTTTTTCCTAAGGCTGGACAAAAATCTGCACCTCGCTCTTCCCAGAGTGTTTGGGGAAACAACTTATTCTCAAGGCTGCAAATTCTTTATCAGAAAAAAAAAGAGATACTTCCGCTGACATGGTTTCAGGCTGAAATTTTCTCTGAACTGTTTTCAGTGTTTGATTTGAATAGAATTGCAGGCATAAGCAACATTTAATGTTGTATTATCATTGTACGGATGGAAATTCCTGAATGTTACATGCCTGATAAATTTACTTTCTCGTTAAATCTTGTATGTAGTAAAATTTCCTATCATGAATAACACATTTTCTATAGGCTGACCCAGGAGTTAATATTCGGTGCCTGGAAGATACAAATGGCATTCACAAATACCACTGCATTTCCTCTGGATGAACAAAATAATTATGTAAGAACAGAACAGTCTTGTTATCCTGAGGTGAGCATGTGGTTCTGAAAAGATCCTTCCTTAAATGTAGGGGGAAATGGTGGGAGGAGGCTGGGTGTGACAGAGACTGACCGACTTTCCAATTATTTATACAACTAGAGGCCTGGTGCATGAAATTCATGCACTGGAAGGGGCTGTCCCTCATTCCAGCCTGCATCCTCTCCAATCTGGAACCCCTTGGGGGATGTCTGACTGCCGGTTTAGGCCCGGCAGTCGGACATCCCTTTCACAATCCAGGAATGCTGGCTCCCAACCGTTCGCCTGCCTGCCTGCCTGATCACCCCCTAACCACTTCCCTGCCAGCCCAATAGATGCCTAACTGCTCCCCTGCTGGCCTGATCGCCCCCAACTGCCCTCCCCTGCTGGCCCGGTCATCCCCAACTGCCCTCCCCTGCTGGCCTGGTCACCCCCAACTGCCCTCCCCTGCAGGCCTGATCTCCCCCAACTGTCCTCCCCTGCAGGCCTGGCCCTCCCCCCCCAACTGCCCTTCCCTTCTGGCCATCTTGTGGCGGCCATCTTTGACCACATGTGGGAGGCCATCTTGTGTGAGGGCATGATGGTCAATTTGCATATTACCTTTTTATTATATAGGATATAAGCAACAGGTAACACTCTAGGATGCTATCGGACCATCCCATGCAGTTTCCCAACTATAAACCATCAGCCTATTCTTATTCTGATTAATCCAGATAAACATTTACTAGTGCATAAAGCTACAAGTTCAATTAGGTTTGCTTTATGTGACTTTTATGTACCAAGAATTATAACTTGAGCCCAAGAATGTTTCATTCTAAGATGCAGGCAAGGCAGGGAAGGAAGGTGCAGGACCAATAAATTAGGCAGTAAATGCACTATTCTGTAAGGGACCAAGGGACCACGGGAGGGGCAAGAGAAGAGATGGTTGGGGCTCATAGCACGATTCAAGGACTGCAGAAATCATCAAAGAGAAAGGGAGATGTCTGGTCAGTGTAGTGTCTACCTCTCAGCTTACCCTTGGAACTGCCCCAGTGAGACTCCTTAGAGCAGTGGTTCTCAACCTTCTGGCCCTTTAAATACAGTTCCTCATGTTGTGACCCAACCATAAAATTATTTTCGTTGCTACTTCATAACTGTAATGTTGCTACTGTTATGAATCATATTGTAAATATCTGATATGCAGGATGGTCTTAGGTGACCCCTGTGAAAGGGTCATTGGACCGCCAAAGGGGTCGCGACCCACAGGTTGAGAACCACTGCCTTAGAGGAAAGAGATGCCAGTAGAGTAGCACAGTCTCTGGGCCTTTGAGACAGCAGGGTGCCAGCTGCATTTGGGCCCTAGTTTCTGCAACATTCCATCGGGGCCTGCAGCTTTGGTGACTGCAGCATCTGCAGGGGGTCCCGGGTAGCCTTCCACAGCAGCACAGATCCTCTTCAGTGGATACCAGCAGAGGAACTGTCACTTTGGATATTGGCAGCTGCAGCAAAGACCTCAATCAGATGAGCTGATGCATGAGCAAAGGGAATGAATGATCCAACCCACAGAGCGGTCACAGAGGCTGGTCTGGGGAAGGGCGAGTAGATATCCATAAGGGACCCCAGTCCTATTTTCAAGGAATTCAAAAGGTCTGGACGTCCTGCACTGCTTAGAGACAAAGACAAAAGAATAAGATGCATGAGTGTGGTTGTCTTACCCCTCAGCTGGTATAATGTAGAAATTGAGATTTTGTGGGAGATTGTTTAAAAGGAGTTTTCTTAACTAGCCACTTTTCTAACACCCTCCCCCTCCCTCCTTCCTTCAAGATTTACTGACTTTATTTTTAATGTCTTGTCAAGTTACCTCAGAGTGAAAGAATTAGGAATACTTAGTACTTAACTGGAAACCCTTCTAAGGACAGCGGGGCTAAACAGATGCAGGCTTATTTATCACTTAACAAGAAGTCTGGACTCGGAGTTCTTCTGACCTTGGTTTTACAGTTCAGTGAAGAGAAAGGCAGTCTCAGAATTCAAGTCTGCTTTTGTGGCAGAAAAAGGTGGGGCTGGGAGTGGGGCTGAGGATACACAAGGAAGACCTTATTTTCTATCCAAAGCACCAGGAGACTTCCAGTTAAACTTTCTTGGCAGATCCTGAATTGAATGCTCTTCTAGCTGCAAAGGAGGCTGGGGAAATTCATATTTAACTTTTCTACCACTCATAGGAGAGGGAGGCAAGGAGGAGATAAATGGAGAATGGGGTTAGGTAAGCCAGCCTATAGAGTCCACCCCAAACACCAAACCACTCCTCAGAAACTCAGTATCTTTCTGGTAACTAAATTTGCACATAATTTTTTTCATGCTTGTTCAATAAATGTGGGATGAGAGATAAGTATAATCTCTTATCTTTTCTTTGAAAGTCACATTTAAAAAGTCTTATTTGTCTTCAAGTTTGGCTGTATATATGATCTAAAGTTTTGGTTTACAAAAAAGCCTACAAAAATAACTACATATATATATATATATATCCCGGTGCATGAAATTTGTGCACGGGGGGGGGGGGTTCCTAAGCCCAGCCTGCACCCTCTCCAATCTGGGACCCCAGAGGGATTGGGCCTAAACTGGCAGTTGGACATCTCTCTCGCAATCCAGGACCGCTGGCTCCTAACTGCCCACCTGCCTGCCTGCCTGATTGCCCCTAACCACTCTGCCTGCCAGCCTGCTCGCCCCAAGTGCCCCCCCCCCAACCTGCCGGCCTGCTCACCCCCAACTGCCCCCCACTGCTGGCCTGCTTGCCCCAAAGTGGCCCCCCTCCTGGCCTGATTGCCCCCAACTGCCCTCCCCTCCTGGCCTGATCGTCCCTAACCGCCTCTGCCTCAGTCCCACCATCATGGCTTTGTCCAGGACGTCCAGAAGGTCTCCTGGCCTAATTAGCATATTACCCTTTTATTAGTATAGACTAGAGGTCCGGTACATGAAAAGTCATGCACTGGAGGAGGGTCCCTCAGCCCGGCCTGCCCCCTCTCACAGTCCTGAAGCCCTCAGGGGTGGGAGGCGGCCCAGCGATCAGGGGAAGAAGATGCCCCATCACACCTCTGCTGCTGCCACTGCCGGCAGCACAAGCCTTGGCCGGCCCTGGTTACCTGAGCCTCAGGCCGGCCCTGGGCAGCTGTGGGGCTGAGGGATTGGGGGACTCTGGAGGCAGGCGCATGGCAAGGCCGGGTCCACATGGGAGTGGGCCCGGCCTTGCCGCGCACCTGCTGACCCAGTGGGACTGACAGTACTGGGCGCTGCCATCTTGTGGCTGTGGGTGCCGCCATCTCTGAGGGTGTGGCAGTCAATTAGCATATTCTCTCCTTATTAGATAGGATTTCCTGATGTCCAACAACTCATATGAAGCAGAAAGAGTGCTGGATTTTTAGTCTGACAGAATTACTTCCAAATTTTGGCTCAGTCACTTTCTACCTCTAAAAGTGGACAATTTATTTAATTTCTGAAGTAGCCAGTCTTCAAGAAGGCTCCCACTGTCCCCTCCTCCTGGCATTCATACCCTTGAAGAGTCTCCTCTCCCAGTGTACCAGGGTTGGTCTTTGTGACCAATGGACCACCGCAGCAGGGATGGCATGTCACTTCCAAGATTAAGTTATAAAAGGGCGGCAGCTTCCTTCTTGACCTCTGTCTCTCTTGCGTTTCTCACTCTAGACCTGTGATGGCGAACCTTTTGAGTTCGGCGTGCCAGCATTTTGAAAAACCCTAACTTAACTCTGGTGCCGTATCACCTATAGAAATTTTTTGATATTTGCAACCATAGTAAAACAAAGATTTATATTTTTGATATGTCTTTTATATATTTAAATGCCATTTAACAAAGAAAAATCAACCCAAAAAATGAGTTCGCGTGTCACCACTGACACGTGTGTCATAGGTTCGCCATCACTGCTCTAGAACAAGTCAGCTGCCAGAGCTTCAGGACATCGGCCACACTGTGGAGAGCTTCATGTTACCAGGAACCGAGATCCTTACTCCCGCTGCTGTGAGGAAGGGAGGCCTGCCATAGCCAAGCTGGTGAACTTGGAAGTTAACCCTGTGGTGTTCAGACCACCGCCACCCTAGGTGATAGCTTGACTTGTACTTCCTCAGAGACTGTGAACCAGAAACACCCCGCCAAGCCGCTCCCAGCGTCCCGACTCCTAGAAACTGAGATAACAATGTTTCGTATTCTAAGCTGTTAAATTTCTGAGTAACTGATTACACAGCAAAAGAACAAATACAACTTCTTTAAACGTCAATGTCATCATCTATAAACTGGAGATATAAAGGGTTGCTGTGAGGATAACAAGATAACATATGTGAAACTGTCCAATGCAGGTTCTGTGACATACTAGGGCAGAGAAAAAAAATAATTGAACAAATATGGCTTGTTTGTGATGACTATTAC